ATGGCACTAGGTCAGCTCCGTTCCTCTCAATGCGTGTTCTTCATCAGCTCGTTGAGGATGAAGGATCGAACTATCCTCTCGCTGTGGAACCGCTCATGAAAGGACGATATGTTGACGATATTTGCGGGGGTGCTGATNTACCATATGATCTATATTAAATTAGGTCAGGTGACCATCGAATTAGGGCACATAGCACCTGTAAGTNTGGAATTAGGGCACGTGGCACCTGTAAGCCCGTGTCTCTCTCTCATTCGTTTCCGGGAATCAGTTAATAGCACTTCTCTTTGTACCGCTCAATTTCTCGCAAATCGGATAATCTTTATTGTGTCAGCTCAATCTCTTCTCAACTTTTCGGTCCGCTCATTGCTTACGGTTTAGTTAGTGACTCAATATTCAGTGACTTATTTATTGTGAACATTTTTATTTTGACAAATACAGTGTTTTGTGGAACTCAAGTGCACGTGTCCGCACATTTTTTTGACCCGCTCATTCACTCCCGGAAATCCATTTCCCACCTGCCCATCCGCTCCTAATTAGCACCGATCCAGGCATCTCATCAAACNACCAACTGGTATCTCATAAGCTCTGGTGGAAAGGGCCACCATGGCTTCATCAACACTACTCATCATGGCCAACTCACGCTCTGGAAAAAGACCTCAGCGCAGACCTCGAGGAAAAGCCAGGAGTTCTCCTAAATGTAAAAGCTCATCCAATCGCGCTCTGGAATCTCGTCGACAGATTCTCATCGTTCAACCGACTGCTCAGGGTCACAGCAATCTGTCGACGATTCATAGCTCGGCTCAGGAAAACCCCCAACTCTTCTCTTCGATACCCGCTCACTCTTGGTGATCTTGAAGAGGCTCGCATCCTCTGGATCAAACTCACGCAAGCAGCTCACTTCAAGGATCAACTCAGAGCGATCTTNTTTTTCATTGAATTTAACATGTCTACTTTCATAATATTTTCCTAGCTCTGACTTTAAGAGTTGATACCCTGTTGGAGTATGTCCAACCAAGACCATACCTACACCTCGAGGTCCAAACTTTGGGCCAGCATTTCTAGCAATTTTTACATAACTTCATCTACCGAATCTTTTGATTTGATTAATATCAAAGCTGTGATCAGGCGCGAATCTTTTTAAAGGAGTTATCATATTGTTTGATTTATGTGGTGTCCTATTGTAAGCATAAACTGCAGCAGTTAAGCCCAGATCCCACATGCCCTTTGGCAGTCTCGAGTTAAACATATAACATCTCACCTTTTTCTGGATAGTTTGATTAAATTTCTCAGCGACACCATTGTGTTCAGGTGTATCCGGGGACGATAATTCTGCCCCTAGACCCTTAAGAACTTCAACTGTATGCCTGCCTGTATATTCTTTTCCCTGATCTGATCTGAGATAACACACCTTCGCGTCATAAACCAGTAAATTACGCGCACTTCTAATGAACATCTCAAGACAACGTCCTGTTTCACTTTTCGTTTTCATTCGATAAGCCATAGCGAATCTTGAGAAGTCATCGATGAACACAGAAATGAATCTGCATGCCTTAGGATGAGAAATTGGAGTAATAGGCCCCATCACATCTGAGTGAACTATTTGCAATGGTGCTGTTGCTCGCCTGCGCACCGATGGGAATGATAATTTATTGGATTTAGATGTTAAGCACACCTCACAATCTCTAATGAATTCATCATCAAATTTTACTGCATTTAATTCTTTGTTTTCTGGGAATTTCTTTTGTAGTGCCTTGAGGTAACTCGTTGAGGCATGTCCAAATCTACTATGCCAGATCATGACATTCTGATCCTTCAAATAGCTATCTGTATCAATTGAAANTCACTGAAATTTTTTGAAAAATATAAAAAGGGTCCAACTTTGAAAACGACTCGTTTTTTGAAGTTTTTTGAAGTTTTTCTGGGGAAATCGATGGAAGAACGAATTGAAAAAAATTGGCATATTTTTATATGGAAAGTGCATTCGAAGACGCACATTTTGTAATAAAAAAAACACAAATCGGTTGATTTTTACGGAAGTTACAGGCATTTGAAGATAAAACTTGCAAAAAAAAACATGGCTGCCCATAGGATGCCTCAAAAAATCTGAAAAAATTTGAGAAGTCATATTTTTCCATATACAACTACAGGGAAAGNTTTCTTTTGTAGTGCCTTGAGGTAACTCGTTGAGGCATGTCCAAATCTACTATGCCAGATCATGACATTCTGATCCTTCAAATAGCTATCTGTATCAATTGAAAGTTTTAGAAAATCTTCTAACGAATCATCCCATGGTAATTCATCAACATCTTGCAATTTCCTGTCCCAAATGGTGTAATCAAAATTTGATTGTTCATAGGGAATATTTTCTTTAGTAATTATTTTCTCTTTTATTAAGTTTTCACTCCTTTTTTCATTATGCTTTTCTTCCTTTGCCTTTTCTTCAATTTTATTTTCTTTCTCATTACTCTTATCAATTTCGTCTGTTTTCTCACTTATTTCACTCTGTACATTTGCTGTGACACTTCTGGTAAGATATCTTTTCACCTCATTCTCACTCCCAGTGACATTAGCAACATTTACCNCTTTAAGTTCCTTCAATATTTCTTTTGGATCTTGTAATTTGACAATTTTAGGGTGATAACTTCTGTCTAAATGATTGATCAGAATTTCTCTAACTTTANTTTTCAACTCGCCAAAAGTCAAACCCACACCTATAGCTTTCCTTGTTATTTTTTCAATGATTCTAATGTTGGGAAAAGGTTTTTTCTACTGCATTGTAGAATGCATCTTTCTTTTCGCTTTCACTCAGAGGAATGGTGTCGGGAGCATTTTCATAAGTTGCAATTTTTTCACCAAACCNATTACTCCACAATCTAATTCATTGAATGTTTTAAATATAATCCTAGAATTTGTTAAATGCTCGGTGGCGCCTGAGTCTGCCAGAAAGTCTATCAGAAACTTATTTCCATTTGTTTGTTGACTGTCTGCATAAAATATTTCAGCACTTGATTGATCATTATTTTCTTTTTCTTTACCTTGAGTGGAGTCATTTTTCTCTGTGAGTTCGTCGGATTTGGATTTCTTGTTTGATTGGTGAGATGACTTAAACCCGTGTTTGTTCTCGCCTCTTTTATAAGAGAATCGACTCTTATTGAATCTTCCTCTTTTACTTGGACCATATGTTTCACCTCTCATTGGTCTTTTTGTTCCTTTAGCGTTACTTCTATATGGGGTATTCCATGTCNTGTTTTTTGTTACCTTGATTGATGATTCGACAGTATTGCGATAATTATCGCAGGCTCTCATTACTTCTCCAATTTTGTCGTTGTGCTTTTTGTCCAGGGCACTCAACAGCTCCAGTACTTCCTTTTTATCTTAGGCTCTCGCCTCAGCATTCAGTCTCACTTGGTTTCTATTCTCTGTTAGACCTTCATACAGTGCTTTTGCTGAAGTTATATTTGAGCTGCATAGCTTTTCCACCATGCTCTTCAACTCAGCCAACTGTGTGTCTACAGAGACTGTTTTGACAGTCTTGTTGCCATTAGGCTCAACTGATTCATTGTCTAGATTAGAAATTAGCCATTTCAATTTAATATTTACTTTATTATCTACTGCAATGTTGGGTTTCAGTTTGATTTGGCCAGTTTTGTCAACATTAATATTACCTGTGGTTTTCTCGCCTGTTTTCTCGCCTGCACTTATCTCGCTGCCATTCGTCTCGCCTCCAGTCAATTCGCTTGACCAGGACTCGCCTGTGGCCCTCGCCTGTGTATTTCCCAAATCTTTGTTCATGTTTCTTGACCCAGTCTCGATCACAGCTGTTGTTGACTTTTGACTCTTCGGACCGTAACCTGGTAGATACATTGGCTTTTCTTCAGCCAACAATGCAGATTCTAACACAGTCAAACATCTCCATGGATCCTCTGAGAAATCTCTCTTATCTAATTTTAAAGAGACCGAAAGAAAATTTTGGATTATTGTATCTGATTACAATTTTTATATTCAGGTCCGAAGTCCCAAATTCGACATGCTAAACATAAACAAACCGAATTCAGAATGAATGTGCTCTTCAGAAAATCTAAACATAAGACCTCCAAATACACTCGAGTCTTTTATGATTGCTAAATAGTGATTTAAATATTTCTCAAGTAATTTGACGTCTTAATATTGCGCGTTTCTAATGTGTATAGTATGCTCGCCTATTTACACATATGCCTGATGTCTCACCTGTTACATANTTTTTATATTCAGGTCCGAAATCCCAAACTCGACTTGCTAAACATAAACAAACCGAATTCAGAATGAATGTGCTCTTCAGAAAATCTAAACATAAGACCTCCAAATACACTCGAGTCTTTTATGATTGCTAAATAGTGATTTAAATATTTCTCAAGTAATTTGACGTCTTAATATTGCGCGTTTCTAATGTGTATAGTATGCTCGCCTATTTACACATATGCCTGATGTCTCACCTGTTACATATCCTGTTCCTTCGTCTGGAAGAACATAAACTTTATCGTCTATTATTGCCAGGGAGATCACTTCTCCCTCATGGTTTCCTTCGATTAGATGTTGTCTAATTATGAGTCTCCACACTTCATACAGAAGTTCTTTATCAGCTGTAATTATTTATTTATAAATATCTTCGTCTGAAGATAACAATTTTTAGAATTCAATTTCATTAATTCGTCCCATCAAATATTTAATTTGTTATTCTCGCCTATTAAATATTTCTAAATTCAATATTCTCACCAACTAAATATTTTGATTTGGATGCATCCTTAATTTCTAAATTTCAATTTTCCACTAGTGTCTATTGATTTTATTTTATTGCTTTACATTTCGCTGGTGGACCCCGCACATACGCGGAACGCGGCCGAGAAAGTGAGAATCGTTGTTTTTCACATCAATTTTTATATTCACACTAATTTTCGTTTTTCTTTCTATTTCTTATTGTTCTCGCCTTGCTCAAGCAATGTGTGTGGGACTGCAGTCGTCCCTCTCTCTCAGACGCGCCCCGGTTGCGCGCGTAACCCACCCGTTGCGTCTACTTGTTGAAGCTTGTTGAAACCCGTACTCGCCTTCACTGCCGAGAAACCATTGTCACGGCGTCACTTGGCTTTCTTCTTTTGTTTTTCTCTAAATATGATTTTATTTATGACAAAAGATATTTCTTGTTTTTCAGTGATTTTTTGTTAATTTAATGGGATTTCTTTATTAATTCTTTTTAATCTAAAATTCTCGATTTCAGGTCGGCGTCGTGGACAATTAATTTCCAGCCGCAATTTTGATCCCTTCTATTTTTCGTTCTCACCAATTCACTTCACTTAATTAATGCATTTTTCAGTACTTACTTTTTCTCTGAGTACTTTTCATTTTTTCTTCCCGTCAGTCGTCACTCACCCAGCCCGTCTCGATTTTTCCTCTTTCTGGATATTGCTTTGTACCGCGTGTGATCCACCCGGACACGTACCCGGCCGCCCGATAGCGTCCTTTTTGGAATTTCCGATTTATCGCTTTCAATCCTTTAATTTATGATAAATTTTAATCACGCACAGTGGAAGTGTGCTCGGCCCATAACCTGAAGGGTTATTTAGGATTGAAATAACGATTAAACACAGTTTTATTGTCGCAAAAGTAATTAAGCTTTATTCAGCAACGTAATGCGACAACGGTCGAGGCACAAGTGATGCAT